TCTTTCAAGGTCATTTTGGTGCTCCTTCCATGCAGATTGTCAGCTTCTAGAATAGGGTGATTGGCTCTTTATCTTATTCTTCACGTTGGTTCGTTTCATATGGGGAGATGAGGTCCTCCGAACTTTGCACTCATTACTGACCCTATCTTTCTGTGCTTGCAGTCGCAGGAACTTATATTTTTTTTTGGCCTCCCCAAAGTATGAACTGCAGTTTTTGTTTGTCAAGATGCTTATGTTCTTTGATCCCAGGCACGAAGTTGTCAGGGACTGCGGGGGATTGCTACTGTCTAAGCTGCTTTTATCCGTGAAGTTGTGGTACTGCTACTTTTGCCTGCATTCCTTTGTCTATCACTTTTAGATTGTTTTAAGTAATGATTTGGAGTAGAACACATGGAAAGTTGATTGATATTATTGGATGTGGATATGCACCTGTAATTACAAGTTCTCAGAAAAGTTACACTTGCTGATTTTTAAAAAGGAACAATTTAGAAGTCTTATCTGTTGGTCTGATAATTTTGGAAGTCTGGTCTGTCGTCTGACTTAGGGATGCCAATTTGAAGATGGTAATAGGGAGTTCTTGCAGGGACAATTCCTGTTGTCTTTCACTGCCCCTGGTAGAGGTTCGGAGCTTAACATTTTTGTTTTCCTTTGGTGTCTAGTTTGTTATGTCTTCCTTCTTGGGGGTTGTGATGTGATTTTTCCTCTACATTGTGGGATATAGGTTATCCATTTGCAAATGGATCAATTGATTTAGTGGAATCGTTTGGGTACTCAAGCATGTGTTCAGGTGTTGAAAAGTAAGTCGTGTGATTATTTCTGTTCTGCTTGATAATTATAGATGTGATTGGTGAAACCCTGAAGTATGGATTTTTGCACTGCTTGATCGCATTTGGAGTTCTTTTTGGGGTCAGTCACGGAGGAGATTTCTGATTATTTCTGTTCTGATTGACAGTGATAGATATGATTGGTGAAGATATGAAATTTGGCATGGTTTGATCGCATTTGAGTTTCTTTTTGGGGTCCGTCAGGTACATTAAGTTCATAGGTTTGTATATGCTGCTTCATCTTTTTTTTTTTGTGTGTGAAAGTAATCTATCAATGTTTCTATTGATTTTACTATTGCTCTCTCTTATGTTGGGTTCCTTCCCAGGTGTGGTCGGAGTTGTTATGGATATGGATGCTTGGGTGGGCATCTCGGATTTCGAATGCAGTTCCATGTGGTCTGAGTTGCTCATGAAACCTTAGTGAGTCCATAGGTTCAATATTTATTGGAGCTTCTCCGAGACTGATGGCATTTGATGTCACCCCGATTGGATACTAAAAAGTTTCTTCTTTGAATCGCAGTGCTGCTTTTACTTTCCTCCAGAATTTCTTCAAATTCATATGAGCTTTTATCGATCATGACTCTGTAGTTGTTGAAGTCAGATGCAATAATGCTGTAGCTATATTTAGTCTTTCTGTTGTTTATCATGGCTTAATTTTTTATGAATAAAGTGCATGGGTCTTATGAATTTAGTTACTGCAGTTTGTTTTGGTTTTACTACAAAATCAGGTGATTCTCTCTCTCGTCTCTTTATGTAATTATTTCCTAAATGGCATAATAAGGAGCTCTGGGAATCTCAGACTAGTAACTTCGCTTCCACTATGGTGAGATCTTGTCAGTGTCTAGGAAAGGCGGTTTCTCTCTTTAGTCTCTTTACGTTTGATGATTTTCTGGTTGATTAGGTTGTGCGAACTTCAGTATCCATAACTGGACCAAGTCTGTAGTTCACTGTTTCTTTCTACTTCTGGGATTGCCCTGTCATGTTTTTTGCTCGTCTTACAAGTTATGGTTTACCCATTTCGCATTCTTTTCAATCAGCTGGTCCAGCTTGCCCTTTTGGAAAGGGAGATTCATGCATGAATCAGGTTTCGGGAGTTCCAAGTGTTCGCTCTGGTGTGAAGGTTCAATCATGTGATTATCTTCTTCATGATTACGTAACAATTTGATCTCGTGTGGGATCCCTAGTTCAATCATGGATGTGTTTCTGACTTCGACCTCTTTCAGTACTTTAACTTGTATGATCTCGTAATTTCGGTTTGAGATTGTGACGTCACATATTTGGCTGTGGGACAAGAATTGGATCATTGTTTATTTACACTTGGTGATCATCGAATTAACGAGTCTGAGAAGCTTACCTTGTGTTCTTTTCAGGTTATATTACAGCTTTTTAACCCGATGCTGGAAACAGAAACAGTATCAAACGAAAGTTGATCGACTCTCCATACAGTAAAAACACTTCATTTGGATATTTGAGTGAGTAGAAATGGTGCTTTTGAGTTTTGAGTAAAAGCACTTCCCTTAGTACAAGTACTAACATCCAAATACTTTGTGTTTCATATATTTTTCAAGAATCGATCAAGAACACTGAAGAGGAAGAATTTCTAGTGTTCCTTCAAAAGGTAATTTCTAGCCTTTTCCTTTTAACTATGATGAACATATGTGTATTATGAAGGCATTTTAGAAATTGAAAATATTAGCATTTGGGAAAGAAGATAACGAATAGTAAATTAGAGCTAGGAATGAGTTCAGTAATTATTTTAATGACCTCGAGAGCTCGAGAATACTATTTATTGAATTACTAAACTCAGTTTATGAAAGGAATGAGAATTTGGATCTAATGGACTTGAGCTCGCATTTAATTTGAGTGTGTTTAGGAAAGCTAAGAGAGGTAATGTTGGTTTGGATTCATTGGAACGAAAAACCTCATAAATAGTATTTTCAATTTGTTATTCAGAAAACAGAAAAGGATTTTGCACCTTCACCAAAAAAAAACAAGAATCTATATATATTTAGTTGGGTTCTTTTAGTAAGAAAGTCAAAGTTAACTAAATCTAAAATAGAGATTGTAGATATTATTTAGAAGTCACGTATGAATTTCTATCTATTCAAGGACGTATAATTATAGTCTGAAATTCAGAACTTTTCTCTGGATGTGATTTGAAAGACCGAAGAAATTTAGTAAGGAAAATTATGGTTAATGTATATAGCCCAACTCTTTGTTTCTGCATGAACAAAATCATATATGAATCATTAAAACTTTACACCAGATTCATAATCATCAACTCAATGCTAGCTTCATTATTTTCATTACGTTAGTTGGAAAAGTTAAAGATAAATGAAAACTGTGGACTTCATTCTGGGAAAAGGAGGAACCGAAAAGCCTCATAAATAGCAAAAGATAGAAAAGGAAGTTAGTAGATGGTGACAAATATTAGTATTTGCACCTTCACTCAAAAAACAAGAATCAAAATCTTGAACACTAAACTATTTTCCTTATTTACTTGCGTTCTTTTAATAAGAAAGTAAAAGTAAACTTTCATAAAAAAAAAAGAAAGTAAAAGTTAACTAAATTTGAATATTTCTTTTGATATTCTGATGAAGTCAAATATGAATTCCTATCTATTCAAGGAAGTATAATTTTAACGTCAGAAATTCAAAAAAACTCTCAAGATATGATTTAAAAGATTGAAGAATGTGAAAGGAAGAAAATTTAGCAAGGAAAATTGTTGTTAATGTTTATAGCCCAACTATCCGTTCAGCAGTAGCAAAACTTGACTAAATCATATTTGTCATTAAAACTTTATGCCATATTCTTAAGCATCAACTTCATTGTTTAGTATGTTAATTAAAAAAGTTAGGGTCAATGAAAACTAAGGAATTCATTCTTGAAAAATGAAAAACTTCATAAATAATACTTTCAATTTATACTCAAAAAAAGGAAACAGTTCATAAATGGTGATCTGAATATTAGTATTTGTACATTCACCAAAAAATAAAGAACCAAAATATTTAGAAAGGAAAATTACAATTAATGTGTATAGCCAAAATAATATTTTGGAAAATTGAAATTAAATGTTAACCATGGTACGGGTTTAACCTCTACGAAACTCCTCCTCCAACTATAAAAGGTGAAAACAAAGGGAGCTAGGCCAAACATGAGAAGAACACTTCACTTTAGGAGAACAAAACTTTTTCTCGCTTTTTTTCTCTCTTTTTGATCAACTTTATGCACCAAAAAATATATTTTTTCGGTTGGAAATTCAACAAACTGGTCACACTAAACAGTTCACTATCCTTCCTTTTGCAGGTAAACTAATTTTTAATCAAATGCTTCTGCGTTGTTTCATGCATGTCTTCATTCAAATTGCTGTAACTATTTTCTGCAGTTGTTCTTGTGAAGAAGATAATTTATGCATGAGTTTATATATACATGTATGTGTATATGTGTATCTATGTGATCATTTTATATAACCTTTTCTTTTTTCTTTTTATCTGTGTTGCTAAATGACTTTGGAATTCGAGGATTTTGTTATCTTTCTGAATTCATGTCTAATACTTTTTCGGTTTTGAAGCGTTGATTGTGAGATTCTATTATACATTTTTGTGGTGAATGTTTTTACAAAGTGTCATTATTGAAACTTCTATAATCATAAAATGGTATGTACTACTTTTCAGTTTTGAATGATTTAAAAATGAAGATTTAGGATGTCTCTCCGAGTTGTCGAATCTTTCTTTAGTTTTGGAGAAAATAATTTACATAGATTTTATTTTTTTTGTTTTTACACAGCAATTAATATAGAGAATTTTCGGAGAAGGGTGATGATAGACGTTATTGCAAGTTCCTCTCTCTCTTCTTACTAATCAGGTTCAATTTCCGTAAGTTCAGAACCTTTCACGAGTTCTTGTTTTTGCTTTTCCGGTGTTTGTGGAAATTGTAGAGTGCATTAATTCATGACATCCATGAGAAATGTAATCAAACCTATAGTAGTTTCACACTCAATCCTGCTTGCTTTTCGTTAAAGTCACTGTTACTTTGTGTTATTAGTACCCTTTTTTCTTTTATGGTTCTACTTTTGGCTTTCAAGTTTGTTGTCTTTGTGACTTGTACTTTTGTAATGGTTGTTTTCTAGGTTTTGAACAATCTAAGACAGTTCAGGCAACAGCGTTGTAGGCAAAAATGGAATGTAACAGAGATGAAGCTATCCGGGCCAAAGGAATTGCTGAGCAGAAATTAATGGAGAACGACATATCTGGAGCACACAAATTCGCTTTGAAGGCTCAAAAGATGTATCCAGGTCTTGATGGTCTTTCTCAGTTCATGGAAGTGGTGAATGTGTATGTTGCTCATGAGAAGAAAACTCGCGGTGAAGTGGATCTTTACGGTGTCCTTGCTCTGGATCCTTCAGCTGACGATGAAGCAGTAAGGAAACAATACAAAAAGCTTGCTCTAGCTCTTCACCCTGATAAAAACAAATCCGTTGGAGCAGATGGGGCGTTCAAGATTGTATCTGAAGCATGGAGTGTTCTGTATGATAGATCAAAAAGAGCGATGACTGAGAAAAAACGTGCAACGACAAACGAAGGTGTCAAAAAACCCACAACGACATATTCAAGAAAGAAGAAGAAAGGAGAATCAAGCAGCCATTGAAACCAAGCTTCAGTTTGATTTCAAATGATATGAAGAAGGCAATGAAAGAGCTATTCTATGAAAAAGAAGTTGAGTTATGTTTTTATTTTTATTTTATTAAGTATGCATTTCCATTAACAAGCATCTAGATGATGAACCAAATCAAGTCTGTTTTCTTATGTCTACATTAATCAATGTTTTATTGTGTTATGTGCATTGTGATTATTAATTAGTTTTCAGTTGC